ACTAACTGCTCCGCCATCACGTCTGTTTTCTGTGTCAACCAACGTCTGTGGCTGAAAGTTCATAAACCAAACAGACTCAGCACTCCAGGAAGTGAAATGAAAGCTCACAGCAGGTGGGAGTGAGAGTACAGTGGTTAACTTGTGCTGCCTGTGGCCACCTGCTCTACTATCAGTTTGAAGAAAAGTTTTTTTTTTCATTTAGACTAAGGTTCGCAACTGATATGAAGCAATATAACAAGATTTATTGTCTCAAAGAAAACAGGTCAAGGAAGCGAGAAAACAGCAGATGCACTACTGAACAATACTAAACGTATACAAATTACTGCAATTATTAACAGTTGGTTTGTTGTTTCTTACATTTAGTCAGTAAAATACTATTATTTTGCTTCCTACACGTTATTCACCATTTTTTAATGCCTTGACATAACTTAACATAATATAAAAACACTCATCTTTGTCATTAAAACCTTTCTTATATAATCCAGAACCAGTTTTACATCCTCATTTACACCTACTTTTGACATTTGAATCAACAGTTAGTTTGAAAATGTTATTATAACTTCCTCCAACAAAACGACTCCATGCGTGAAATGTGATTGTCACAGCTGAACACAGAGTGAAGTCTCATTCCTTACATTAATAAATCAAATGAATATAACCATTTTTTTGCATTTAAATCTTGGCAAACAAACACACGCGTTTGGTGCGTGTGAGCACACAGAGCTTGGTATGAAACCCTTCAAATACAAAAATAGAGAATGTAATATTTAGCACTCTGATCATTTGGTATTAATAGTCAGCAGGGTCAGCAATGACTTCACGTCGCAGCATCAATCTGGATCACCACACTGACCTCGTAAACTTTTCAACACCCGTCTGCCTGCTGAGAGAGCGAGAGAGTGTCTGCGTGTGTTTCACCCTACAGATTTTTTCTTCATGGTCTCTGTCGTTCTGAAAAAAAAAACTACAACTACAAGCATGTCAGCTCTAATTAGATGCTTCACACATACTTTTAATGTGTCGACATTATCTGTCCACACAATGTTTCCCGTCTCTGTCTAACCACTGCTGATCCGTATTCTAGAACTGGTTTTGCTACGTTACAAAATATATTACAAAACACATGTCTGACATTGTTAGTCAAAGCGGTGGGTCTTCACACGAATCAAAACCAAAAGAAAACCAGAGCCGGAACTAAAAACATGAACCGGTGCTCTGGGCTATAAGCTGTGACACACTGAACATGTAGTAAACATATATCTTGTTGAGGCAGGTACAAAGTGACACAGAACTTGAGGGAATTTCCACAAAAATTAAAGGCTATTAAATGTATTTTAATACATATTATTCCAGATTGAGGGAGGCTCATACATACAAATTCTGCAAAAAATGTTTAAATAAACAGCATTTATAGTGTCTTGTTTCTGATAAAATGTTTTCAAAATGTCTTCTTCTCTTTTGGGTGACACTATCTCTGAATACCTAATACAATATATATAACTTCAAACCATAAACAAACACTAAATCTGAGATTGTTTCCACTTTCATGTTTGTATAACTCACTTCAGTCATTTTACTATCCCAGAAAGGAAACTTGACTTGCAGTCAGGTGCACAAACATAAAAAACAACACCACAAAATGTTTCCTGTACATACAATCTACAGAACACTCACCCATAAATGAAATCTGGAAAGGGGAGGATTCCCTGTCCCAGATTTCATCGTATCTCTAAATCCTCAACCCTTTAACCTGGAGCTGGATTTGTTCAGTCAGCAACCAGATAACTGTTTTCCACTGTACGGCCTGTTGTAATTCTCAGCAGGGAAACACTGTTTGGTTAAATATTAACCGTTTTATGGTTCTGTTTTAATGCTGGGTGGCATGCATAATGACATCCCAGTTATAGGACCAGCACGCACACAGAAGGTAAAGGCTTTCCTAAATGGAAAATCAGCACTGAGGTGATTTCATCGACCCGTAAAGGCTTCCCTGGAAACAATGTATGACCCAGAGTGAATGAAAACACACAGACACTTGTTACACATGACCAAAGAGGTGGAAGTTTCTAAATCAGTCATGTCATTCATAATGCACAGCAGTGTTTCCTCTTGTATAATGCATTTCGGGTAAAGTCATGAACTCATGGTACTAATGTAATTCAGCGCTCTGATTACTTGGTTTTGACATTTCACTATTTCTAAACTCCTTAAGCAACAATTTGTTCTAAGAAAGACTGTATTCAGTGAAAGTGAAAGTTAAAACATTTTTGTAGTAGGCAGAATAAACTAGAAGTTTCTATATTACCACATTCAAGGCGTTGTACTGGAAATGACAGGAAATGAGGGATAAAGAAGGAAAAGAAAGAAAGGAGAGAAGGCAGAGGAGGAAAGAGCCCTGCTTCTCTGCTTAAAAATACTCCATACTTCCATCTGCTAATAAACTTACTAATAGTGTTTTTAAGTCTAGTTTTTGTCAGTGTTACTATATTTGTATAGCCCTGCTTCTTTGGCAATACAAAATCTGTCTTTAAAGTCTCAGACATCCCTCTGCAAACTGTGGTCGCAGACTTAGAGGACATTTTTAGGCTCATTTTGGTGAAATAAAATATGGTTGTCGGATTATATTGAGCATAAACTGCAGAGAAGAAGATTGTGGAGCTGGAACAGAGACATTTCTGGATGTTTAGATTTTTTTCACCCCAGTATGAAAAGTTAGGACAGCAGCTGCTCGATATTAAGGATGAACATTTCAACAGAAACTAATACATGCCTTGTCAAACAGCAATAAACTATCTGGGCACAATTTTTGAATGTCTTTGGGATCAAATAACATAGTCATGATCGCATAGGCATCCAGGAATTGAGCGAAACTAAGTAATGTAAACAACTATCCGAGCTTTATCTCGGGATAGGCCCACAGCCTCAGACTATAAAAAAACCCATCTTAGATAGCTTACAGTGAAGAGACAGAGAAGAAACATGAGGTACAGGGAGATAAATGGGTATGGCACATATTAGAACCAGGGTTCTGTGGTTTTATTCAACACATCTTAAGCCAATTGGCTACCAGAATGTAACTGCTAACACCTATTTAACTACAGCAGCTTTACTACCAATAGAAAGAAAAACTACTACTTCTTCCACTTTCACAAGTAGTGAAAGCAAGTGGTTATGTAGTAACAACAGTTTTACTTTAGAGTAAATAAAAAAGAGAAGCATCCATACCCCCACTAATGCCAAAGACTAATGTAATGCTGGTACAGCTGCAAACTGCTTTCTCTTACAGCTACTGCTAGCAACTTTTATACAGTAGTACAACTACATCATGTGTTTTTAAGGTAGAAACACAACTTCACTGACAGGAGGTCAGGGAATCCCCGTCAGCAGGTGAGCAAACAAGATCAACCGATTAAGACTAATACAGTAAAGCCACTTCACTGCTATAAAACTGGGTACAGTGAATTTAATATTGGAAGAAAAGGAAAATATGTTCTTTACCTACCTAACCAGCTGATTGTCAATTCTTGAGAAAGGTCATTTCACCTTTATAAACAAATTATAAGCTCTACATTTAGAAAAATATATCACTCTTGGATTAAAAATCAGCACAGGATCAGATGAAGATAGGAGCCGATCCCAGTTCACTGTCTATCTGTCTAAGCTCATAGTTTTATACCCCGGCTGTTGACATGTAACCACAGAATAAATAACTGTTGTGTGTCATTCAGCTTGAACAGCATTATTCACTCGTTAGTGTGGAATGTCTGGAATGGGAATCCATGTCCGTTTCAAAAAAGGGGGAGCGCACGGAGAGGAAGGGGGAGAGGGAGAGGGAGAAGAGTCATTCATGAGTTGTTCACTTGTTTGTTGTTTGTCGTCATTTGATTAGTTTTATTCAGGAAGAAATGGTGACATAATGTGAGAGAAAGAACAGGGATGAGAAGGAGAGGGGGAGGAAAAGAGAGAAGAAAGGGACTAAAAGGGAGGATGGGAAACAATTAAAAAAAGAGTTGGAAAAAGGGGGGGAAATGCAAAGAGGGATAGGGACGGAAATGAAAGAGCGCCAGGATGGAGGGATGGGAAGAAGGATGGAAGAGTTTGAAAACGAAGGAGGGAGGAAAGGTGAGAAGGAGAAGAGGAAATTAGGGAGGAAGAAGAGATAGAGGGGGGGAGAAAAAATAGCAGGGAAGGGAGGGAGGGAAGACAGAAGGATGAGAAAGAAGGAAAAAATAGATGAGGGAATGGTGAGAAGAAGTAAAAGAGGAAAAGAGTGAGGAAGAAGGCGGGGGAGAGCATATGGGAAGGAGACAGAAAGGATCAAAAGAAAGACAGAGAGAGGAAGAAGTAGATAAAGTTAATAAAAGAAAGAAAAAATAGGAAGAGCGAGAGAGAGAAGAACTCAAGACAAGGGATTAAAAGAGAGAATAGGACATATGAGTTGGGATAGGGGAAGGGAGAGGCAAGAAGAAAGAAAAAAGGGAAGAAGGGATGAATAAAAAGGAGAGGACGAGAGATGAAACAAAAGCAAAAACAACAAATTTTAACAAAGGGGAAAGAAATGAGAAATAAAAGAAGGAGATCACAGGACGGAGTGAGAGAACCGGACGATATCAGGGAGAAAGAGGTGAAAAAAGGGGAGGAAAAAAGAAAGAGGGAGAAAAGATAAGAGGAGAGATCTTAACAGGACCGAGGAAGAAGGGGAAAAAGTGAGGAGAAGATTGAAAGAGTGAGGAAAGAGGAAAAGCCTGGGATGGGAGGAAGGAAGAAAAAAAGAGAGGCAGGGGAGAGGGAAGGGGAGAGGGAAGGGGAAGGGGGGGGGAAGCCTGTCCTCTTATGGCAGAGCTCGGGGTTGCTCGATTGCATCATCGCAGCATAATCCTTCTATAAATAGAATGACGTCACCCTCCCTCTCCACTCTCGCCCCTCCCTTCTCTAGTAGCATTCCTGTGTCGTCACCCGGCCACGCCCCCCCCTGTTGCTCTATAAAGGCGGGTGATGCAACGCACCGACTCCAAGCGCAACTGTACGCACCGACAGCAAGAGGAACAGAGAGAGAGAGAGACTGAGCTTTATTAGAGGAGGTTGTAGTTCTTCTGACCCACTCACTCACAGCTTTAACAGGTAGGTTGGACTTCAGGGGATGGGGTTTGTTGTAGTGGTGGTGGTGGTGGGGGGGTTGTTTTGAGGTGGTGTTTGGGTTTGTGTTGTCCCGGTTGGTACAGCGGAGAAGTCCCGGTGCGTCTCTGCGCTCCGCTGTCCGGGGACACTTTACTAAAACTTCTGAACTTGATTTCTGCCGGTCAGATTGAATTAAAACAGAGAAGAGAGAAGCTGTGTGGTTCATATTTAACAATAATGTGTGATTGTAAAACTATTTTCATTCTAATATAACACTTTTGAGCGATTTTAACTGTTGAAATGATGCGATTAATCTAATCTGCTCGGTCTATGTTATACATTATAATAACCTAAATAACTTAAACTTAACAAACAATATACACTTGCATGTTCTAATTAGGCTTTTCTTCATTTATAGGGTTTAGTGAAGTTTATTTTGCCGTTATTTATATATTTCTCTTACTTAGGAAATGGCAAAAATGTTTAAAAAATGGTAAATAAGTAATATAATTATTGTGTTCCTTACTTTGAGACTCTTCTCTGTAGAACAGGGAGAATATAGATATATTATTATATAACTTCATGTGTTTTTGGAACATGTAACTTTACGTGCGTGACATGTTTGTTTTGGTTTTGGTCTTACAGAGCTGATAAACATCATAATCATCTTATCAGGCTGGCAGTCATAATTCTCCATGAGTCGCTCCTCTGTTTAGATAACAAACATCCCCACCTATTAATGATTCTCTTTAATTGCTTATGGCATTAATCCCAAAAGGCAAATATTAGTTCATATGCAATAAAGCATATTTGGCTCTGTGACCATAAATTATTTCTCCTCCTTCTCCATGTCACCTTAGATAACCTGAAATCTCATCTTATAACTTTAGTTTTTTATAGTTTTTGTGCAATATTTAAGATCTGTAGCATGATTACTCAACAAGAAAACTATCACTCTATTATCGCCATAGTCTCTTTGTAATTTTTTTGTGGTTGTTAATATTTTTAATCTACTAGCCTATAATATTACTACAGTAAGTTATTTTGTGTTTGTGCTACTTAATATTGATATAATAATGATAAACTGCCCTTGCCAGGTTTAATTGTATTTTGATCCTATATGTTATCGCTATAATATCGTTATAGGCATTTATAATATTTTAGCATTGCGTTTATAAGGACTTTTTATAGTATTTTTTATCTGAACCAATTCATATTCATGAACCAATTTTGCACAACATGCTTCTAAATTGTATTGTTTGTAGCTGTATCAGACAGACCCTCCTAAAAAATCCCAGTGACTTTGACTAACATGATGATAATCGTGTGACTCTTGTGTTTCCAGAATGATGCTGCAGCACTCAGGTCCCTCGCTGGCTGACATCAGCTGCTCCGCCCTGGTGCCCTGCCTCTCCCCGCCGGGCACACTCACCCTGGACGACTTCACTGACTTCACACCCATAGTGAAAGAGGAGCTGCGGCTGGCCATCCAGTCCAAGCGCCTGTCCAACGGGCTCAGCGTCGACATGAGCTCCGACGGTGCCAGCTCCAGCTCGGACCGAGCCTCGGAGCACCTCGCCTGTGGATCCGGAGTCAAGAGAGAGGTGAGGTGGAGGGAAACTGCAGCATGAAGTCTTCTGTATTTTTTGACACTGACTGTGAAGCATGAAGGGGTGAAATATTGACTGTTTATATTTCTTTCTCTGGTTTTTAGGCGACACCTCAGGAACACGAGAGGAGGAAAAGGAGGAGGGAGAGGAACAAAATTGCTGCTGCCAAGTGCCGCAACAAGAAGAAGGAGAAGACAGAGTGTCTGCAAAAGGTAGTTTTAAACTTCTATCAATTTCAGAGAAGATAGCTGAGCTCAATTTTGTTTAACCTAATTTATCTACAGTACAAAGTAGCTTGCCTAACAAAGATTTAACATTCAAAGTAACATAAAAGCACAGCATTAACAATCAATTTCTCCTTCCCCCTCTCTCTCTTCTATAGGAGTCAGAGAAACTGGAGACTGTCAATGCTGACCTGAAGGCTCAGATTGAGGAGCTGAAGCAGCAGAAGCAGCAGCTGGTCTATATGCTCAACCTACACCGGCCCACCTGCATCGTCCGAGCCCAAAACGGCCAAACGCCTGAGGACGAGAGAAACCTCTTCATCCAGCACATCAAGGACAGCACCTTACAACTCCACAACATCACCTCCTCCACTGCCACCACCACCTCCACCTCCTTTTCCACATCCATCTCCACAGTAGCAGACGGAGGATTTCTGTCCCTCGATCACATTCAGTGTCCCAGTCACCTATGAGCAATCAGGTGTTTTCCCCCTTTTCTAAGACTTGCTTCCACCTGCTGCCATTAATGTAGCACATCCAGTGGTGGCAGGTGGAGCCGTTACAGACTTATGACCTGAGAATGACGTGACGTACAATAAATGCCACCTTTGGATGACTCCTCGGTCCTGTTCGCCGTCCACAAAGCTGCTAGAGAGAGTGTTGCATAAAATGACCTCAATGCCTCCCGCTCCCTGAAACCTTTGCTGCTGATTGGGCAGGAAGTGACATACCATGGACATCACCTTGACATGCATTGTGTATTTTTTTTTTTAAGCATTACAGACAGTCAGGGCCAAGGACAGATGCTAAAGCACTAAAAGACAAAACAAAACATCATTTTTTATTTACTGGTATTTTGAATAGATGAGAGTCTGATTTAGTGTCTGATTTTTGTACCATAGCGGGATTTCAAGGTGATAAAGGCACATAATTTAACGGTTCACCCACAAAGAAAGTAGACACAGATTGACCGTGTGAGTGTGTTTGAGCTGCAAGTCACTGACTTAAAACAAGACATTGTTGTTTGTGCTTAGTGTATGAGAAATAGTATATTTATTAAGTAACTACTGTATGATGTGTTATTGCCGTATCAACCCTGTCTGCTTGTCCTTTATCCAATATGAACTACTAAATTTGCTGCTACTACTAACCACTCAGGACCTAACTGTAGAAGTTGATTTTTTTTTTTTGCCCCATTTAAGAGCTAACCTCTCAAAAAGTGTGAATACAAGTGTGAGGTTGTTTGCTATCAGTCAGGGTAGGAGTAGCAGTCACAAAAGGGAAATGAACTTTGCAGGCAGGGTTTATAATTCTGCACTTAATGAGAAAAGCATAGTAAAAATTATAATCGTATATGCAGATGATATCTTACTTTTCTTAATCATTTGAAATGAATTGGTGAGCAAAGTTGTCCCAAAAAATGTAATACTGTACATAATGTCACAAGTACACTTTATTTATCACTGCGTTCCCTCTTAAGTTAAACAGAACTAGTGTTGCTTTTTACATCTTCTGTGACGATGGAGCTTCACAAGTACAAGTGTTATTTTTCAGACATGTTGTTTTCTACCTAAAATCTTGTATATTGTATTGACTGCGCATTCACTCTGTACTGTGCTACTGTATGTAAACACCGGATGCCTCTTTTGGTCTTGACAGAGCAAAACAAAAAAGATTATTTTTTAAAATGTATTTTATTAATAACATTTGGTTTGGAAGTTGTGTTCACTAGATATCATTAGCTAGGTATCGGAAGTGTTGTATCAGCTTTCGGCTGGTCCTTTAACACGCTTGACTCTGAAGTTATGCAGGATGATGTAATATTATACTGTGTGTTATGAGCTTTATCACTTCAAATTACTGCCAAATATGTTTCCCTCCTTTTACTCCCGTTTCCTTGCTGGCCCGTTTGCTTTAGAGTGAAATGTGGTTTATTGCGCAAGCAGAAACTGAAGGGGGACACCATAGAATCAATCCATAGTGTTCATCAGTAGCAATGCATCTGCAAGGAAGACCCTGAAACCATCAATCATTGCAATTCACTGTATAGCTAACACATCAAAAGGGAAACTCTAATAGATAATATATATAATTTAAGTAAGTGGCAACACTTCACCAAGCAGACATCTTTGCATACATTTTTTTAAACTGTTCATAACAGAAGAGTAATAATTTATGAACAAACAGCACATTACTGTATATCCATTCACGGTGAGGACTGAAGTTTTATATTTTATGTTTGCATGGTAGAAATTTAAGAGTAGAAGGTTTATATTGTTTATCGTCTGTAAGGAAAAAAAACATGTGAGAGTCACACAGTTAAAGGGACGCAGGCGTCTGCGTGTGTTCATAGCGTGTGTGTTGTTTTTGTGGTTGAAGTTGTTTATTGTCTCGTCATGGCTAGATAGCTAATAGGCACTGAGCTCGATGCATATATGTATTCTATGTATTCTATTGTGCCTACTTCTACTGGAGGCTGTTTTTTGGCTGTTTTTTCGGCTCAACTGTGGAGCATCATAGCCTAACTGAATAATCTGTAGGCTGTCAGGTACAACTGCACTGCTACTACCAATGTGTACTTCCATCTCTGTGATCTGTCAACTTTTGTTTTTGATACTTTGTTAATTAAAAATGTGTATTGCAAATGATACCGTGGTGGTCTGTGACACTGTCTGAAGGTGATTTAATTTATGGTTATAGGTTAGTGTGAGTTGTAATGTAAAAACATGCTACTAATGTTATAGCCACTTCCCATTCACCTACATCACACATTCAAACAGACAAAAAAGTTCTTGTCGAGATAACAGGCTTAAATAATTTATTAGTGCCCTCAGTAGCTGTTGGCTTCTATTTTACTTAAACACCCACACACATTTTTGTTACTCAGTTACATCAGCCTTTCTATTAAATGGCATGAGGATAACATGAGGAAAAACAACCGTTTCCTCAGAATATATACTAATATATATACTAAAAAAACATTCATTTCTAGATAAACACGGGGAAGCAGCTGTCAGAGGAATTACATTTTTATAGTTGGCGGGTCATCTCTTTAGGCAATTCATGTTTTGTTGACACCTAGAAAATTTCATAACATAACACGAGTTCACCTACAAACTGAGCTCAGAGCAGCTGTGTCTGTACTGAAGAGAGGGACAAGACTGGGCATGTTAAATAGAGAGGGGGGGCGGAGAGAGAAGAGAGAGAGAGAGAGAGAGAGAGAAGGGTGTAGTCCCATATCAGCTAATCGGATAGGACTTGTATTATCTGTGAAGATAAGCTCTGAAATACTGTTCAAATAACAAACCCATCACTCCCAACTGATATCACCACTGGATCTACAGACATGGACAATACACACTCTGGATGAACAGAAATAGTCAACCACTTTTCAAATGGTGAAGAGTTAACTTTTACAAAAGAGCTTGTTTCCTCTCATGGATTTCATTTTTGTATGTTTACTTCTTGTGTTCAAGAGTTCTGGTATGTTACTTCCAATGAGACACACATACAATCATTTGAAAATGGTATAGAATATATAAGAAAAGGGCTCATCCAAACATACCATGAACCAAATTTGGTGAAAACCTGATTTTTGTTTGAAAAAACTGCTGGAAATTAAAAAATGTGGAAAAACTACTATTGGCATTGTCAAGCTGCCACCCAGAGAAATATGACTGAAAAGCAGCAACCTAAGAGCGACAACCACAGCAAAAAGATGAAGTCTCAACACCAAAAATCCTATGGAAAGAAACTTGTTAAAAATAAAAATAAGTTACAGATTTTAGCTTTAAGTCTCACTGCGAGCTATGGTTCACCATGGTAGGACGGTACACATGTTCACCACTAAAGTTGCTTAAAGTCAGTTATATTGACTTCTTTCTGATTTGCAGCTAATTACACAATTACACAACCAGCTAATTGGCCTGAAGCAGTAAACCCCACCCTCCTTGCTCACCACCAAGACAGCTTAAACAAACATTGAGAATTTATACTTCTTAATGATACAGGTTTACCGGTTTCTGTTTGAAAGTTGACATTTCATGTGGTTTGACCCCAAATGTCGGGTACCCTAGGGTAAGCATACACTAAAAAACATCATCATAGTTAGATATTGTGTACCTTTTATGATAAGGGCTGATCGGTCCCCAAAGTATAGATACTACAATACAAAGTCTTGATTTGAGTATCGATACTAGTAATACTGCAATATCTGCATCTCTGCTGCTGGTGTGTGTAAGCGTACAGTTGTCACTCACATAGTGACATGAACATTTCTTTATTTACCATCAAAAACTGTCTGTGATGAAGTGATTAATAGTAAGCACATCATCTTTAAGTTCTCCATTTTCTTAAGCCACTTTGTTTGATATTGAATCCCTTAATTTATTGAGTGCTAGAACTAATTTCATTTCATTAAAGCATGGATCAAAGAACAGCAGTCTAAGGAAGAGCAGATAGTTTCATAAGACTATTCTGTGGGTAAGATCCACATTAACCTCAGCACAGTGAGTGAGCAAGTGTGGTATTTTGTTTGCTTGAGGGAAATGTTTCAACCTGCTTCAATTTTGTTTAATACACATCTGGTATGTTAATTACAACTTATAACATATCCAGAGGAGGGGGGGGGGCAGGGAGGGAACCACTCATCTCCAGCCTTCCTCCAGTTTCTTGTTCTAACTCCTTGGTTAGGGAGTGTTAGGTTCCCTAAGGTAAAATTGTTCTGGTTTTTTGTTTTCTTTTTTTTTGTCATAGATATTCCTTGAACGATAGATAGTCTTTTTATAGGGGACATTTTCACTTGTCAGAGCAGGAAAAACAGGAAAAAGTGTATGAAAAGCGCTAGCACAGTGCTAAAGCAATGTGTGGAGATAGGTCTGACTATGTGAGACTATGAATGAATAAAGAGCTGTGTGTGTCTATCTGTTGAATTCACATAAAATCCGACAATGTGCACCTTTGGCAAGATTATGCATAGGCGTGGAGAGGCTTAAGAACAAAACTGTTGTGAAACAATGTGAAAACTATGTTTAATTTCCCTAAATCGCTTTGTTATCAGTACATGGCTCCTTCTCCTTGGTCATTCTCTACCACCGCTTAAATTCTATTAGGTATGCTTTTAGGTTTAAGAAATAGCACCAGTGATGGCAAAGGTGTAATTAGTATCTTGCTACAGTAAGCAGTATGTTGGTGGCCCAGCATGCACAACAGAGGCATCATAGAGCTAAATGGAATGCAGACATTGGTGTTTTCTTCCATTATAATATCTATATTGTTAGTAGTTATCTTTATTTTACAAGTCAAAAGGTTTTACTGACAGGAAATAACCTAAAATATAAATAGATGTATGTTTACATGTATGCTTATCTGCTCCATAAAAGGAGAATATGTGAAAGTAGATCATATTTCATCTGCTTATGACATGCTTTCAGAGGTGAACCAAGGTTCAGCTGTCTTTTCTGCAGGCTTTAATTACATGGTTTGATGAGAGTGCTGGGAGCAAAAACAGTGACGAGGCGAACAGGATCTGACATGAAGGTGTTTGTGCAAATGAGATTTGTTTTATGTTTTTTTTTATTATGAGAAATCCTGCTGAAACACAGCTCCTCAGTCTGTGCAGACTAGGAGTCTCCAAAGTTTCACAGGGGTCCATGGGGCCTTCTTGATTTTAAGGTTCCATATCTTAGTATTTCATTCATTTCTGTGCAGAAAACTAAATGAAAATTATTAATTTTTAAACTTTATATTATTATTAAAGTGTTATAATCTATAACACAAGCTATATTCACAGAGCCTGCACTCTCTGCTGAACAACCTTGTCCTGCTTTAGAAAAGTACACAGTTAAAACATCCGAAGAGCAAATGTAAAACCTCTATTAAGTATGTATGATTGTTAAACATGAAATAAATGAATAATACAGACAGAGAATTGCACAGAAGTTTTCAGGAAAAGGAGCCAGTGTTTGGTTTGTCTGTTCTGGGCTACTGTAGAAACATGGCGGCCTTCAAAAAGACTCATTCCCTCTGTAGATAAAAACAACTCATTCTAAGGTAACGAAAACACAACAGTTCTTATTTTCAGGTGATTATACTTTAATGAAAACATATCTATGGATATTATATTCCATTTCTGTCTATAGATCCTCCTCAGTGTTACACACTGGACCTTGAAGGAAAAATGTTGGGAACCACTGGCTTAAAGTTTAGGGGGACAGAGTGTGTCATCCACTGTACAGATATGAAAGCCCCGATTATGAAATACGATGTTGGACTATATGAATAAAATATAACTTGACTTGAGTTTGTGGAGAAGTACATTTGGTTCTCACTTCAAGCGGAAGCAGAAGTAGGAAGTTTCAACACACTGAGTACTGAGAACAGCAGCATCGTACAGTGTATTTATCAAGTCAGCTTAGGGTCACCTTACCGGACTTCGTTCCAGGAAGTGATCACAGTTTTTACCACTTTGATCACACTGATTATTCACCAGGATGTTTCTATTTGGTTTAGTCTTTTGAAACCTAAAATCTTGAACTATTGTGGCCTGCGGTCAAGACCAGTGTCTGTTCGTCCCATGAGACATTGGTCAATATGGGGCCAAAGTACAGACACAAAGAGAGGAGGAGGGTGAAAAGGACAGGGAGGATGCTTTGTCATTCTCTCGATTGAGGGAGAAACTGATGCAACGCAGTCACAAGCGGACGCAAGGTGACTGATGCAATGGCAGTGTCATAATGTTTAAACAGCAACATCTTGTGTGCTGAGGTCAAAGGTCACAGCTGAACACACAAGCACAAGATTTGGAAGTATCTCCAGTTCCCTTATCATAGAAGTCAAAATCGGCAGATAAAATAAAGTAATTGTATATAGGGGGTTTGCCAGATGAGAACTGCTTACTCACTAACTGACATGTTAATAGAGTACACGGAACAAATGCGACCGTTTAAGGAAGTTGCACTGAATTTTTCATTCAGAAGAAACTCAGTATCTGACAACAGTATTTATGCATGCATTTTATCTAGCACTTTCAAAGTGATCACAGCCTTTAAAGAGAGAAGGAAGTGCAACACAGACAAAATCATGGAGAAACACTGGGGGGGAGAAATGTAAGAAGGAAAAATGTTAACTTATGCAAATGTTATAAAGTGAAAGAAAAGAATTTCAAAGAAGTAAAAAGGAGGAGCCACAACGACAGCAGGACAAGAAAGTAAACCTGTTATGTATTCACAGTTGCTTTAAGTAGGGTTTCCAAAGAGTCTTCCTAATAAGCCACCAGTCCCTATCCACAATATGATGCAATATGACTTGTGAGCTCTTGTTTGCTCTGGTGGTGAAGTTACTAAGAACTCTGCTGCTGTTAAACAACTGCTCCACTACAAAGGTCTGGTTTCCTGGGTCAGTGTAGACACTGTGGAGGATTACAAGTATCTGGGAGTTTACATGGACAATAAACTTGACTGGGTTTAGGACACTTAAGCCCTCTACAGGAAGGGCCAGAGCCGGCTCTTTTTTCTGAGGAGGCTGAGGTCCTTCAACATCTGAGTCTGTGGTGGCCAGTGCTATCCTGTTTTGCTGTGTGCTGGGGCATCAGGTTGAGGGTAGCGGACGCTAACAGATGGAATAAACTGATCCGCAAAGCCAGTGACGT